TCCTCCCCAATGCGCGCGCCCCCTCCCCGCTCCAGACGCCCCAAGATGTGGAGCGAAGGCCGTGGTCCCGACCACGCGACAGCGTGGCCATCCCGCCACAGCCCCGGGCACCTCATTGCACGCGCGGCCCAGATCCCCAAGCCCCGCCGCGCAGACGGAAAGAAACCGAAGACGAAGGAAACACTCACCCGATTCCGACTTTCTCCTCAACAAAAGCGGCGGGGCTCGCTCTCGCGCTCGCGTCCCACTTTAGGGAGCGCGCCGCTCGCGAGGACCCCCCACGGCCAGTCTGGGCTCCGCCCCGAGGCGTCTAGTGGCGGCGCCGGTGCCAGAAACCCCGCTTCGGTGCTTGAGGAAGGACAGTGTCTGTCCCCGTTAGGATCCTCCTGAACGTCGGGACGTAATACGTTGCCCCCGTAGGCGGACAACACAAACCGAGGAAACATCGCCGCCTGTTGTCCTGTCAGTAGCGTCAGGCACTTCGGTGGACGGCCCCAAGGAAGGACCGGGAAGGGGAAGGACCCCAAGCGGGGGCGGGGTCGGAAAGGGAAAACTGGCGGTACCCGCGCCACAACCCTGGCGGAAGGGGCGGGGCCTACTCCCGACGTAATCCTATCGGCAGAGTGGGAGGCGGGGCCAGAGCTGAGATTGACAGGAGGGAGTTCTGGGAGGGCGCTCTAGTGCGTCCTTTGTGACTTCAGGGGCCGGAAGCGTGTGAAGGTGTCCCTGGGTTCAGGACACTTGCCTCGTTGGACAGGTTTGACAAGACCAACCAGCCACCAAGAGAGCCTGGGCCGGTCACTCAGTGGTTAGCGCGCCAGCCCTTGGACCGAAGGTCATGGGTTTGATTCCCGGTCAAGGGTACGGCCTCGGCTGCAGGTTCGACCCAGCCCAGGTCAGGGCGAGTGCAGGAGGCAGCCAGTCGAAGTTTCTCCCCACATCAGTGTTTTTCTCTTTCTCTCTCCCATTCTCCTCGGGTGAGAATTTAAAAAAAACAGACAAAAAATCCACCAGGAGCCACGTGGGTAAGTGAGAGGACTGCTGTGGAGCTTGGCTCGGAAGGCCCGGGGGCCCGGGGGGGGAGGGGACTAGAAGTGGTCACGAGGGGAACTCTAGGCACCAGCAGGGACACGGGGAGGGTCCACGCACGTGGGGAGGTGGGGGTGGCTGAAGCTTTTGTAGATCTGAAGAACTTTTGACTTCACTTTCATATTTTTATATTTTGTTGATTTTTCACAGAGAGGAAGGGAGAGGGACAGAGAGTTAGACACATCGATGGGACAGAAACATCGATCAACTTCCTCCTGCACACCCCCTAGGGGGGATGTGCCCGCAACCCAGGTATGTTGTTTTTCAAAGATGAAATAGGAAACTTTAATATATCAACCCACACACCGGAGGTCGCCGTGGTTAGCAGTTTAGTGCGGACTCTATGACACACACACACACACACGCACACCACACATGCATACACATACATACACACGTGCGCGCGCACACACACGCATGCACACACATGTGAGCAGAACACACGTTGTTTAGCTGGTTCCCCTCGTTTTGTGGGGGTTTTTCCTTCCTTCTGGCTGGGAGATTCCTCTCGTGAAGTCTGTAGTCCGAAGTGAAAGGAAGAGACTCGAACTCCTTTCTTAGGAAAAATGAGGCGTTTCCTACCCAGACCACATGCCACGCCGAGTGAAGCCAGGGCTTTGCCGTGGCCCCGAGGCTGGGAGTGGGGTGCCCCCGAGGCTGGGAGTGAGGTGCCGCGGTCCCCTAATCCTCCTCCCTCTCCTCCCTTGCCCAGACCCCACGGGCACGCTGATTCCCCGGCCAAGCACACAGTTGCGCCCCAGGACCTTTGCATTTGCTGTTCACTCTTCCTGGAAATCTTTCCCGCAATCTAACTCCATCTGCTCTCTTCCTCTCTTGAGCCATGAGCTCAGGTGTCACCTTAGCAGAGAGGCCCCCCCAACCCCTCTTCTCTATACAGAACAGACCTGTCTCCCTTACACTCCTTTGTTTCTCTTCATAGCACGAATCCCCTAACGCACCTAACTCTTCATTTGTTGTCCTATTATTTTGCCTCCCAGATGAAATGTCAGTTCTGTAAAGACAAGGATTTGCATCCAATTTGATCACCGCTATAGATCCGGTGTCTGGCACATAGTTACAAGTCAGCCTGCGTTAAAAACAAAAACAAACAAATTTGACCCCTGGCTGGGTAGCTCAGTTGATTGGAGCATTGTCCTGTACACCGAAAGGCTGCAGGTTCAATCCCTGGTCAGGGCACATACAAGCAGCAACCAATGAATGCATACATAAGTTTTTCCCTCTCTCTCCCCACCCCCCACCACCACCACCACCACCACTTTCTCTCTCTGAAAAGCAATGGAAAAAAATATCCTCGTTGGCCTAATTCTTGGCTGGCCTTGTGCGTCAAGTCTCTTTGTCATGATTCCCTCCCCTCACTTCTACCCTTAAGTCCCATCCTCCTACCCCACAGGGCCCAAGGGATGACCTCAGGAGGTATGACAGTTCCACAGAACACTGACAAGGTACTAAGCCAAAAACATATTCTGGGCAAAAGTACAGATTTAAAAATACTGATTAGTAATTTGAGTGGGGGAGACTCAGAGGGGACTGAAAAGGAATAAGAGTCGTGGTGGGTGTGAGGGCTGGAGAGCAGGGTCGTCAGCTCCGTGGCAGGGAGCTGTGGGAGCAGGAAGGAAGGAGGGCCATCCCATGTCCTAAGTCCAGATGGCCTGGGGTGCCAGGATGAACCAGAAATTCACGTAGTTCATGTAGGAAATGAAACCTGAGGGAGGAAGAAAGCAGAGGGGGTGAGGTGTAGAGTTCACCAGCCCCACCTGGACCCCAGTCCTCTCCCCATGCCCAATGATACCCCCTACCCTGTCCCCACATCCATCCCTAGACCCAACCTCAACCCCATTCCCTGCACTGTCCGAGTCCATTTCCAAATTCAATCCCGTCCCCAGTTCCATCTCATTCCCTACCCTGTCCCCAACCCCTTCACCTGCATTTTCCTCAACCCTCCACCTTCAAACCCAAACCTAACCCATCCCCTACCCTGCTCCCAATAATCCATTTCCTAACCCAAACCCAAACCCATCCTCATCCCCATCTCTTCCCCCGGCCGTCCCCCATCGGTAACACAGAACCTTGTCCAAACCCAACCCCATCCCAGCTCAGACCAATCGCCAGGAAGCAGAAGATGCCAATCCACGCCAGGTAGAAGCTACGCCCCAGACTGTAGGTCATGCCTTCCTGCAGGAACTCACGGGCCTGCAGCAGGTAGAACAGGACACCCAATACCATGCTGGTCCCTGCAGGAGTACAGGTGTGAGGAGGCTGGACAGCAGGTCTGTGAAGACCCGTGCCCCTGGCTGTGTAACTGCGTGGCTCTTGCCCTTTATTTCCCCACTTCCTTTGCCCCCCTGTATCTCTGCTCACAGGCAGGATAAGAGGCTCCTGACAATGTCATAGCAGAGGACATCGGAAGTGCAAGTCTTGGTCTTTCTGTGGGCCACGGGGGTGTCTAAAGCCACAGGCTTTGGGGCCAACTGACTGGAACGCTTGTCTGGCCTCGGCCTCCCACCGTCGGGACACACTCCATCTCTCTGAGCCTCATTCCCCCCATCTGTAAAGTGGGCATCATTGCAGGAACCATCTCCTTGGTTGTCAGGAGACGAGTTACTGAGGTTGGCCCATTTCCTGGCACACAGGGAGCCCTCAAGAATCAAGCCAGATTAACATCACTGTACTGGGTCTTTAATTTGGGGTTTCTGAGGTAGTGGATAAGGAACTCTGTCATTCTGGATATTTTAGCTGTATTTTTAAATGACATGAATTAAAGATGATTTGTGAAAAGGAAAAGTTTTTGTTTTCAGGTAGTGAATGGAGGACTGGGTAATTTTTATTTATAAATTTTTGAGAGAGAGAGAGAGAATGGAGAGAGAGGGAGAGAGAGAGAAAAACATCGATTTGTTGTTCCTCTTATACATTCATTGATTCTTGTATGTGCCCTGATTGAGGATAAAACTCACAACCTTGGTGTATCAGGACGATGCTCTAACCAACTGAGCTACCCAGCTAGGGCCTGGGTAGGGTAATTTTTTCTGTATGTTCATAGTATAGAAAGTGTTTTCCCTTTAATTAAAAGGGAGACTGGGCGGGAATTATTTTTTTATAGGAAAATGTCCTAGTTTAGATGACATAAAAGTGAGGCGTTTTCCACCCGGTATCCCTTAGAGTTAAACAATCGGGGAGAGCTAACAGACAGACTGGACACATAACATTTGCTAACACGGAAGTGTCACCGTCACTCTCCAAAAATGCTCTCTCGATGCAACTGAAAGTTGTGGTCAGTTACCGCAAAAGACCATATCCTTCATTTCCAAATTAAAGTGCTCCCCACGGCCCCTTTTTCTAAAAAGTGTGATTTGACATCCAAATGGAACTAAACTATTCTCATCGGAATATAAGTGTTGAGTTACTTGGGTGGGAGTATGGAGATTAGGACATGTACAATATCTACACCGGGTGAGGACATCTCCCAGTTCAGTCCCCACGACATCTCCACGTGGTAGGAAGTTGGCTCAGAAAGATGAAGTAGCTTGAACAAAATCACCGCTGGTGGCGAGGAGGCAGGGTTTGGGGGTGGGGCTGGAACTGGAAATAGAGATGGGATCTTGGTAGAGGTTGAAGTTTGAGAGATAAGGATGGAGGAGGTGGAGGTGGAGGTGGAGGTGGAGTTAGAGGTTGGTGTTGGGTTGTGGTTGGAGAAAGGATGGACTGGAGATAGGGAAGAGGATGGAGCTGGGAATGAGTTAGGTTGAGTTTCAGAGTGAGGTTCACAGGCGGTAGGGCGATGGGGTTGCAGTTGGGTGCTGACGTTGGTAAAGGGGTGGGGGATGGCTTGGATTCTGGAGAGAAGATTGAATTGGCATGGGGGTGGGGATGGGCCTGGACAGCATGGAAGGGGTGGGGGATGCGTTTGAGATGTGTTGGTGGTGGAGCTGGGAAGTGAA